GGTCTGCAGCGTGACGCTGTTCTTCTGCTTCAGAGCCCAGGTAGCGCCCTGAGGAGGTGGGATGAGGGTGCCGCTGGCTGCCTCTGAGGCTGGGCAGAGGAATCGGGGGAGGCTTTATGGGGACCTACCCAGCCAGGGGGTGGCTGTTTTTAGAGCTGTGGGTTGAATAATCTCCAGCAACACCCGTAATGTCATAGTTTGAAAACCAATGTTAAGCTTTGGTCCTGTAGCCAGACACAGTAAGTTGAGAACCTCAAAGTCTATGGCTGGGGTTGGCAAATGCTCGTTACGTGGCTTCACGACCACTTGAATGGCTCTTCCACAAAGTTTGCTGTTCAGACCTTTTCACTTGTAAGTTAACTACATCCTCTGGGGAGGAAGCAGAGCCACAGGCAGGGATCGGGTGAGGCAGGTATTTGGACATTAAGACCCAATGGTAGCCCACATTTTTGGGTGTCTTATGCAACTGGGTATCCTGCCTATGGGTAAGGACAGCTCTGTCTTCTGGGGCTCTGCTCCCTGCAAGTATTGGGTTATGATGACACAGGCTGCTGCTTTACATTTCTTGCTCTCCATGTGCCCTTGATCTGGGAGCTGGGGTGGAGGAAGGTGGGCTCCAATAAATGCAGGAGTCAGTGGCCTGGAGTGTGACCTAGGCTAGCTGAGTTAATTCATTTCTCGCTTGGGAAATAGGCTAGTTCAGGGCAAGTTAGCTTGCCCACTTCTGTTTCTTACCATTGACATGCTGAATAAGGGGCACCCTGCCGTTGGGTGTCCATGTGCGCTGCACTTAAGTCCCACCGGGGTGTGAAAGTTTGAAAATAGGCATCATAATGTGAAGATGGCTCTTTTCAGGTTACCCAAAACATACAGATAAATAGGAATTCAGAAAGTAAGGGGAATAAATTGAACAAATCTAAGGTAGGCTGGTATATCAGGCTCATCGTTGTGCATTTATTGGGTATTAGAGAGCAGGTAGGTGAGTGGCTTTTATTGGACCAATTTCTGTAGGCAAGGGAAACAAGTTGGTTCAGACAAATATTACCTTACCCACCTTAGTGTCTAATATCAGTGGGCCATCACAGTTGCAACAACAGTGTATACCATAATGGAATATTTGGCATGTAATTCATAATGGGGCACCAGAGCTAACTCTGGCTATTACAGGTTCTTGTGCTCGTTAATATGACCCTAACATACAGTATTTTTCTTGTTGCACAGAAAAAACAGGGCCCCGAGGCTGAAGACTGCATTTTCTTTAAGCCAACTTTGAGTCCTCTTTGGAAAATAACTACTTGCATACTGGTACAAGAATTGTCCCAGGATTCTCTTTAGGGACTACTTTCTTTTGAATTTTCTGCTGCTGCTCTTTAATGTGGAACTTGGTGTGTAATGGCTGGCAGAGGGCAAAGATACCTTCTGTAACTGCTTAGCTCATTTCCCAGGCGAGAACAACTAGACTGCCCTACCAGGCCACAAAAATATGGCAAATTAATGTTTTAGATTGGGCATGCTATGCATGTTAGAACTGAGCTGCAGGGTGATAGGATGGGAGGGGTTGGGCTACAAAGTTATGCTTTCTAGTGGTTTAAGCTTTTAGAAAAAAAATGATTTTTTTTCTTGGAAATTACACTGCATTGGTCGGATTCTTTTACATATTTTTTTGCCTGATACTGTGAACTTTCTCAAAGGAAGTGGGGGGGAGGGGGCTGACGTTTGCTCTTTCTCGGGGTGAAACTAAAGATCAGACTCTTTCAAGTTTGCAAAAAAGAGATTACTATTTCAGAGTAGGTGGACTAAAGATGCTGTAGAATCTGTTTATGTGAGTTGTACCGTCCAAAAGCTGAAGAGAAGTTCCAATTAGGATATTAAGTAGTTATATGTATAGTATGAATACTAGCTTGTCTTTATAGAAATAGTGCTTTTTTTCTCCATTTGAAGTCCGTGAAGTAGACATCTTTTTTTAGGTCAAACTTTAGGTAGATATACTTGCTCTTGGGCTAATACAATATAGAGCACCTACAGATTAGATGCATTACAGATGCATAAACTTTTAAACAAGTAATTAAAATAAATTCAATGACTGTTCAAAATTTATTGTAATATTGTTTGTTTTTTGTTGTACCTACTTATTCATTCCTTTCTATTTTCAATTATTGGCAAATGCTTTGCATTTGTTAGATACCTTTAAAAGATATGTATGACCTGTTGCAAGCTTGTACATACATAATTGACTATACTTTAGCTGTGTGACGGTTCGTTGTTATACTCATTCTAAAATAGGTTCAAGATACTTGTTTCTTGACCGTGAAATAGACTAATGTATACAGTAAATCATTACTACTTCATGCAGGGCCCAACACAACTCCCATCAATGAAAAGACTTCTATAGACTTCATTGTGAAATTGAAGCATGACTTTTGACAAGTATAGCTTTAATTTGATATACTTCATATATACACATGTACTTTTTAATCTATTTTAAGGTTATGTCAGATTAATAGTAGGAAGTCTTCAGAGTACTTTTCTCAAAGATGCTGAACTACTCAGCCAATAGTAGTGTGAATTACCCAAGTCTGAATTAGAAAGTATTACTGAACACTTGGAAAATACACCTTTAACACAAGACTTTTGTTTTCCTGTACACATTTTTCAGATTTCTGCTACTATTCTGGGAGTAAACTAACCAACTAGTGGATAAATGAGAACTGGCTTCTGTAATTTGTTTGAACTTTCACAAAGCCTTTGTTAAAGGAGTGTCATAGAAGAGGCTCTTAAGGAAATCAAATAGTCATGGGGCGAGAGGTGAAGTTCTTTGAAAACCAA